CAGACGTTAAAGCCCAATAATTATGATGTTGATAATGATAAAAAAGGAAATTGAAAATAGTATTTGAAAGAGATTTTTTGTAATAAACGTTTTGACGAATTGTTGTCGAAACGGTTTCAGGTGTGTCTGAATTTGGTGCGCAATTTTGTACCTCAGGTACATTGTGGATTCTGTTTGTAGACTTTACTTTCTTAGTGGAATGAACAGTATACAATTAATTACAGGGGCCACAACCTACCTCATTTTTTCCTAACACGGGGTAAATATGTTGGTAAAGTTTCTAAAAAGTTTTTGTAAAACTGAAAAGAAAGTAACTTACGTTATAGGTCGAATTATCTTTGGATACAATAATTGTTCCTTTCTTCTTTAACACGTTTGTCATATCGGTGACGTGAATCATCGTTTAAAGCTGCCGTAGATTAAGTCGCTTGATGTGATTTTTCTTTGTCATACTAAATATTTGGCCTACCCATCACAGCCTCCAAATAGATATCTCTTGCCCTACAGCATGAACTCTTGAGAATCGACGATTTGTTCTACGAACCATCCGCTGCGTCTGTCGTCTCTCATCGGGCAGAGCACCGCAATTGGCGCTCTCAGTGGTGCTGTCCCCGGGCGCGCGCTCTGCCGTACTGAGAGTACGCAGATGTCGGACCTTGGCGCGTAATGCCTAGGAACTGCTATGTCGTCCGTAATAAGACAACCGACATTTTATTATATTTAATCATTTAACATCAAATACAGTTAAAAGCTATGAATGACGTATGAGGGAGAAGTACAATCTGTGCAAGTTTTCTTGAGCTCCTGATTGCGATTTTTTCGCTCTTTTACTATATTAAGTTGAATTTTGAATAAATGTATCAACTAGCGATAATGTAAATATTTACTCCTGTGTAATACAAATGTTTTGCATCAGTAAATGATTAACATGATTATTTTCTTATCCTTTATCATGCCTAATGTAAAGGAATCGGCTTAACACCGCGAGAACATGGAGAAAGATTATTTGATGATGGGTACTGTGGACGAAATAACTTCCCCAGTAATTTCGTACAGAGCTCAAGAAACATGTTCAGATAGTAAAGAGCGAGTGAAATGTGATTAGATAAAAAATGAAGTAACTAACAAACGCTTGAAAATGATAACACTGAAAATCTTTAAGACTACAAAATGAATTGTAAGAATGCAATAAAATAAATAATTGGCTGAGACGCCTTTAGGAAACAACTGTTGAAATTCTTTAAACATATATCGAAAATGAACAGTAAACTGACTAGTAAATTTTTCACCAACATTGAAAATCGAAAATTTGTTGTCTCGTTGAAACAAAATTAGACGTCCAGGAAATCAACATTTCAGAGAGAAAAAAACAACAAAAAATGTTTCTTATACTAAATTTTGAGCAGTATTCTTTATTTTGGGTAAATATCGGGATTATCTCATTCACTAGGCTATTACAAAGCTCTCACCTTGCTATTCTAACCTTTCGATTCCCAGCGCAATCACTCTAAATGTACCGCGGAAAAGAAATTATATGGTACGGTTGGGGAAAAAACCCTGAAGTAGGAAAATCCTGCTGTCAGAAGACAAATACACTAATCAACGTAACTCTTTCTAAACTAATTAAAGCCAGACGCGGACGTCACGTGTTTTTCCCTACTGAACTTCGGCATCTTCAGCGCCTTAAAAGAAACAGCTCCACAGAAAAGCGACCGACGCCCGGCCTCTAAGCTTACATACCTGTGCCCATTTACATCCATAAAGTTGATAATTTCGTTGCTAACCGACCTAGTCTCCACCCTGCTTACTGTTAACCAGGACTATTTTCCCGGTCATTAATTACCCTCTTACATACCTCACACATTTTCTGAAAGTTTTCTTAATTATTTCATTAAATGATCGACCTTCATCACGACAAAGCAATCGGATACTATTGCCGGATACTATTCATTTTTTTCATTTTACTTTGCATCATCACTACTTTATACGTACTGTACGTGACTCATTTTGCCCGAAACTTGACATAAGAACTCTTATTCCGCGATTACAATGCCTATGGCAAGCAGTATCCGGCCCGGCTACTAAGCGGATGCCAATTATCAGCCATCAGTTGCGAGATAACTATTTGTATCTAAACTAGAGTATCCGGTATTATTTCTTATGATAACGACTAGCATACTCGTTTGTGAGTTGTGCCCGTTTTCCTGTACAGATTGTCACAGAGATGAGTTGCGTTTGACTTTGCATGTGAAGAATGGGAAGATATGAGGCGAGAACGAACAATACATTCTGGATGGATTGATGGTAGTGGCCGGAATGGAGGCGGGCAGGTGCAAAACCGTAGTTTTCTGCCTGCGACTTCCTTGCAAGCTCTTGCTCGCGGTATTATTTCATACAGGTCCTGTGAATTCAAATGGTCCGAAAATACATTTTATCTACCTACAGTGCCGAAGCTAGGCACGGGCAGACCGGGCAATCGCCCGCGGCCCAGCAAGTCAGGATGCCGACACTTTCTATTGCTTTCTGTAACCATATTGTAGTTAAAAAAACAAACAAATATATACAGCGTTTGAATCATACTTTTTTGTGAGGGGTTCTAAGATATTTATTTCGAATGTAGGAAATGAAGGTCGACTCCATGAATTCACCCCTCAAACGCTGTTGCGTGGGTGATGAGGGGTGGCGGGGACGGGGGCAGTGGCTGTGTGGGCGTCAGCGTTGCTGCGGCAATAGAATTTCACAACCCAGAAGTACAAATAATGTCAGGTTGAGCACTCGCGCTTTGCATAAGACGCAGGCCGGCAAGCGCGACACTTGTGTCCGGCGGAAGGTCACGGCGCACAGTCGCTCGAAAGCCAGGTGGAAGGACAGGGCCCTTCGTAAATGTGATTACGAAGTGCGTTAAAAGACGATAGAAAGGCGACGGAGTGTGTTAAAAAGCAAAAGAAACCTCCAACAACTTTCCTAAGCGCGATAATCACTCAGTTGAGTAATAAAAAACGTTCTTAAATAATATTTTTATTTTCTTTAAATCTAATATATACATATATTTAAAAGTATTTTATATAGAATTAAATCAATCGCTGTTAGACCCTTGAATGCTTTCAAAGCCATATTGATTTTGAGTAACATGACTGCGTCACTCCCGCGCTGAAAATTTATCATTTGTTTGACCGTCAAAATCAGTTTATTGGTTTGATTAAAAAGTCATGGGTAGAGGAGGAAAAAATTTATGGTGAAAACATGACTCAAGCAGGTTAACAGTACTTTTTAAATATATCGTGTGTGTGTGTATTTGACTATTAAAAAAAGTAAAATTAATTATAATGTAATATCTGTAGAAATATATTATTGCAGTCCAATTATATTTTGTGCGTGTCTTTCTGTTTCTTTTGGCCCACTGCGCGGTGTTACGGTAACGGAGTCGCCAAGTGCCTCTGAGTGGGTGATGGCAGATAAGCCCCTAAGGCGGGTGGCGGGCGGCGGCGGCGGCGGCGGCGGCCCGAGGAGGTTGAGACACTTCCAGCCGCCTGTGGGGTGGGCGCGACCGTGGAACGTGTTCGCTCCCGCGATGCGGGCTCTTTGCCGTTTTCATTCGGCTGAACGCGGCCTCGTGAGACGATGGTTCTCGACTCGCGTCTCGATCTTTCGTTCGACGAGACACCACTGGGCCAATGTTTACTTCGGCCAGCATCCGGGACCCCCCTCCCGTCCACCGAGCGGAATGCCAGCAGCCGTTGCAAGGAAGTGCATTTGTTTCATGGCCCTAGGCCCTCTTGACCTGATCCCCCTCCGGGCGAAAGAAGTCCGCTTGAAACGAAAATCCTAAAGAAAGAAAATGCATGTAATGCTCAGGATTAAAATAAAGTTAAATTTCAATAAAATTCAGTTTAATGAAAGTGGAAAGTACTTGTTCATAACATTGTTAATGTTATGTACATTGTTATAGTAAAATAAACAAAATTGAAATTGCAGCCTACAAAATATTTAATACATCTACATTAGCGAATTATGTTTGCAGAACTTTCTGTACCTGTAGACATGACATGGTTGTATCGAAAACAATAAACTGGGTGCCATTTGGGAGCAGCTACATTTAGTATCCAGAAGAGACTTTCAGCGTTTATTCTGTGGATCAGAATGAAACTAGTGATATATACTTGAAACAGAAACTAAAATAATCCTTATAACATTTAGAGTATTAGTACATATTCAACAAAAAAGTCTTTCAGACCTAATCAATTTGCTGTTCTGTTTTAACGTGCTAGTTTTCCCAGTTTAAATGGCTATAATGTGATTTGAGTTATTATCATAGGGAGCCGTATTTCTAATTCGTTCTTAGCCACTGGTTGTAGGGAGACTTTTTTACTTACTTTGTCTAACTGTTGTTTGAAATTTTTCCTGTAATTTTTGTTGAGAATTGGTTTTATTACACTGCATTCCCAATTTTTAAAGTCTTTTTACTTTTTTTGTGTACTTTTTCATTGCTGTTCCACTATTTTTTGTTATCATTTTATTATGAAGTTTTCTCACCTTTCCAACATTTAATTTGTCACTGCCACATCTTTCAATTTGAAATACTCGTGTCTTTGTCATGGACTGTTGTCACATTGGATTGAGATGCGTGAAATTGAAGACATTTGTCTTGTCTTTTGCATTGTACATCTGAGATGAAGTCCTTGAGATACCCCAACTGGGCTCACAGTTGGAGTTAATCTGTGGATCACATCTTACACATACCTGATGCAACACTAAACTAATGCCAACTAGTTGTTTACTGTATTTATTCATACATCATTTAGATCTGACCTTCATCAAATGCTCTCTTTAACCAACATCTGCAGAAACAATTTTTATTTTTTTTATAGAAATGTAAATTGTCCACCAAATTATGGTTTGATACAAATAATTTAATTAAGACAATGAATAATCTGACCAGAGTCCTTCTGAGGTTAATGGTGGATACTTAAATTATTTATTCTTTTAATATTTTGTTTCAGTTTACACAATGGAGTTATTCAACTTTGGGATTACCGCATGTGCACACTGTTGGACAAGTTTGATGAGCATGATGGGCCTGTTCGTGGAATTTGTTTCCACAATCAGCAACCACTTTTTGTGTCTGGTGGAGATGATTACAAAATTAAGGTATTTCTATTCATTTACTGAAATTACAAGTTATCAAGTGAAAATAATATACATAATTTGTATGGATATAATTGAAGACCTTGGGGCAATAGCATGGTATGCCACAATTCTGATAAAAGTTATATATGATTGTACTTCAGGGCCCCATAGATTTTTACACATTTTTTGAACATAATGCAAATATTTCATCTTGTAAATTTCAATAAATCGCAAAAAATAAATATCATATGCATGGCTTTATCTTACTTATTTAAGGAAATGTTTAAACCTTTACTTTCCTTACCTCAAAACTTCATATAGTAGTGTAGTGTTTACTGCTAAGATCTTGTTATCAGTGTCCATGGTATTATTACATTTTTATTACAACTTTTTCCATTTTAGGTTTGGAACTACAAACAACGGCGCTGCATATTTACCTTACTTGGCCATTTGGATTACATTCGTACTACAATGTTCCATCATGAATATCCATGGATTCTTAGTGCATCGGATGACCAGACTATCAGAATCTGGAACTGGCAAAGTCGTACATGCATCTGTGTTCTGACTGGTCACAATCATTATGTTATGTGCGCCCAGTTCCATCCCAATGAAGATATTGTGGTGTCTGCATCTTTGGATCAGACTGTCAGAGTTTGGGATATATCAGGTATTTCATTTATCATTAATTTATCACTTATCAGAATTACCACAAAGAGTACCACCGGTTTGTGGTGAGAGCTTGCTAAATTTGCTTTAAAAGAGCTTCATCGGGAAAATTCATGAAAGAGTATTTTGACTTATAAGCCCCGGCTATTACCCCGTTGAGAAACATGAATTCACATTAATCACCCTCTGTTATGTGACACCCACAAGAGACTTCTCTTGTGGATTTTATTAATTACATCATACAAAAGAAATTTTTTGGATGTGTTTCTTAAGGCTGAACTGAAAGCATTCAATGCATTAATTTATTGTTTAGTATTAATTATCTTACACATGAAACATTATCTGTAAAGTTTGCATTAGCATTATTCTTTAGGCTCTGTACCTTATTGTATTTCATTATTGTTATCTATATTGCATCTTTCCTGTCTACTATACTATTCTTGTATTGTAACTAAACTGGTGGGCCTATTGGAATATAAAAATAAATAAACATCTAATTGCCACAACAAGTCATTCAGAACATTCACAGTCTGTTGTGCACATTTGACCATCTCATTTTTTTAAAATTACTTACAGGCACTTCTGTAGACGCAGAACTGCCATAATTTTTGAGCTTTTCTACTGTCACCTGGGGTAATTTACATAACTGGAAATGTTTGATCAATTCAGAATATTCCTGTTCAGCCAAGTGCACCACAGTGGAACAATTTAGCTGTAATTTGGAGTGAATTCTTACAAGAAATGCCACAATCTTAATGTCCCTCTTACTCTATCAAAGTTGTGCTTTGACTGTGAACGTTCAGATGTTTCAAATGACTTCTGTATATATGCCAGATATATCAGGGTTCTTATTGAAATCTAATTGAGAGGCATGGCAGCTTTGTCTTCTGATAGCTTAGAATTGACTAACAAAAGTTAGCACATTATAAAAGTGATTGCTTCATTATAATGTCAGAATGTAAATGATTGAATTCCCACATATTAATTTTCTAAATTGTACATAAGTGTTGAAATTTACGTCAGGACTCCGCAAGAAGAATGTTGCTCCTGGCCCTGGTGGTTTAGATGAACATCTCAAAAATCCTACTGCAACAGATCTATTTGGCCAAGCAGATGCTGTAGTAAAGCATGTTCTGGAAGGTCATGATCGAGGTGTGAATTGGGCTTGTTTCCATTCATCATTGCCATTGATTGTGTCAGGGGCTGATGACCGTCAAATTAAGTTGTGGAGGATGAATGAAGCGAAGGTATGTATATTTGTATTTTGATGTGACTGTTATTGCCAAGGATTATTGACATTTTCTCCATTTTAACATTTTAGGGTTCTCAAATTGTCCTTCCCATATATTTCAAGGAAATGTTTATATAAGTAGTAACCTCTATAGAATTGTCTAAAAAAAATTAATTTGTCATCTGCTGTATCATTTTCATTATTAATATTATATGGTCATTAACAGCAATAAGAAGAATTACAATAATTCTGAAAGCAAAGAGACAGTTGCCTGTTGCTGATAGCATACTGACTTGTACTTCTAGTGTTCCTGTGTGATCCAAATTTTCCTTCTGAGATTCTACATCTCTTCATCCTACTTGTATTTTTTTGTAGCTACCTTTAGGGATTTTCTTTCTTTCATTCTTTTAGCATAAACAAACAATTGATTTTCGCTTGTATCTTTTCTTTGCTGTGAAACGTTTCGTGATATTCTTTTCACTTTTGTGATGTACACCTAACAGTGTAGAACAACGATTAAGAATCTCATCTGTGTCACTGGGTTTTTGACTTTTTGCATCCCCATTAGGGAACTTATCATAAAATTCTGTAGGTGAATAATACCAGTGAGTTTCACAAAAGGGTAATTTTTAGACAGAGTACCGGTGCTGACTTACCTCAGTTGTAGTATGATAATATAAATGTTTGATTTATTGATAAACAAACTTACTTCTTGAATCAAGTCTTTCAGAAATGTATCACAGTTTGAATACTAACTCACTGACATGTTTCCTTCCCTGTCTGTGTATCTAAGTATTTTGTAACGTAGTGTTTAGCAATAACATCATAACTCTGTAGGGGCTTGAGTAGTTCAAAATGTTACTTTTATTTTGAAAATAGGTTTATTTCTTTGATTTTTATAGAATTCTCTGTTCTACAAGTAATGGTTCTATAAGTAACCTTATGGTTTATTTTAGGCATGGGAAGTTGATACTTGCCGTGGGCATTACAACAACGTATCATGTGTTTTGTTCCATCCTCGTCACGACTTAATTTTGTCAAATTCAGAGGATAAAAGTATTCGGGTGTGGGATGTGACAAAACGCACATGTTTGCATACTTTTAGAAGAGAACATGAGAGATTTTGGGTCCTGGCTGCTCATCCCTCACTTAATTTATTTGCTGCTGGTCATGACTCTGGCATGATTATTTTCAAGGTGAGATTTTTTAAACAAAATTGGTTACTGGAAATGAAATTTAATTGATTTATTATTCTTAGTTTTACAAGAATGTGCTTACATATTTCTTTTGTTTATACATGTCTTTACTGGCCTTTTAAGCAGGGGTGCAGTAGTGCTGGGACATTGTCTCAGTACTGCTTTTGAGGTGTCTACTACACTCCTTTTTGGAATTTTGCAGTCAGTCTTCATACAAAATTAAATGTTCCAGTATGGGAAAATTTGAGAGTATCCCTGCTTTTAAGGTCATTAAATGTCTAAAAAACTAGGTGATGCCTTGATTAATAATTACATTCATTTTAATATACTTCATTGATGCTTTGAGTTTTTTCATTGTATTTATTGATATGAAATATTATTTCAGTTGGAAAGGGAGAGACCAGCGTATGCTGTTTATGGAAACTTGCTGTTTTATGTGAAAGAGCGCCTATTGAGGCGCCTTGATTTTACAACTTCCAAAGATACTGCTGTAATGCAATTACGAGGTGGTGGCCGCAGTCCGGTGCACAGGTGCAATGTCATTGTTTAACACTATTTCGCTTATTTATTAATAATAGTTCTGGAATGAGAATGTGTATGACTAAGTCTTAGTAGTATCAAATTATTGGAGTCTCTCCCATTATCTCTGTAATTAAAAGGGAAGATATAATGTTTCTGATTGAAAATCTTTAAATCCTATTTTCAGTTTAAACTGAATGTATTTGATGTTTATAGCACAGCTCATGTCCAAATCTGCCTTATTCCTGTATAATAGCCTAGTAATGTTCACATTACTAAAATGGGTGGATAAAGTTGGATGTACTTACAGCTTTGAAGCGTAATTTGAATTTCAGCCACTAGCAAACACAGGGTGGCTAGTGTTGGTGAAATACATTATAGTGTTGAGGAAAAGCAGTTAATATATAATAAACATAGACTGCTATTGCTTATGCCGAAATAATTCTTGTTAACACACCAGATGACTTTTACTTGAACAGTCACTTTACTTTAGTCAGCACCTATTGGTCCCCAACATTAATGTAATGCCAACATCAACTGGATTATTCTCAAATTATCCAGTGATCATCATACAGACAGCTTTATCCAAATCATATGATTAATGTGCAAATTAATTGGCTACTTTTAACATTAGCAATATTTTGAATTTAGTCATAATTGGCGGATGCACTTGTAAAACGGGATAAGTCAAGTTTTTGTCCAAAATAAGTATGCCAAAACATTGCTTTGATACAATACTATCATTGTAAAGATGGCGATAAGTGACATTTAAATTTTGTCAATAACGTTTATTCAAAATTGAAATGTCACTTATCCACCTATTCACAATGATAGTATTCTAGTGAAGCAATGTTCTAGCATACTTGTTTTGGATAATAACTTATCCTTTTATCTGTGCATCCGCCAATTTATATAATTGCGACCAAGATATGGTGAATTAGAATGGGAATTTGAACCTTAATCCAACGTGAATTTTTTTTTATATGTATTAGATTTTTGTGTTAATTAATCTTGTAATATTTTGATCCTATAATTGTACCTGAAACTGTTTCTAAATGAACAAAAGTATTGGTTTTTGTCAAAATACACCTGTTCTAAGGTGGCTCCGCCGAGCACCTCGTCCAATCCCGCCCAACACTGATGTGTATAGCAAATTTTCGCTCCCTTTGATGTGTCCTAAAGACTGACACGCGGTGTGTAGGGCGAATACCAAATGTGCGGCGCTTGGCAAATTGTAAACAAAACGTCCACACTACTTTGGATTCGGCGAGTAGGTGCTTGGAATTCGCTGAATGCCACATGTGTGGGGCTGCCTTAAAACAAATAAAATTCCCTTTGTTTGTGGATATGTAATTTGTGTAATCTTACCATCGCTATTAACTTTATCAATGTTAAACAGTTCCATAGGATATGTTTGATTTATTTATTTGTTACATTGAATCATAGGGTGGTTTTAATTTTCTACTGAATTTGACTTTATATTTTGTTTTTTCCCTGAGAGTTCTTTGTTGAGGTTCATGATTTCAAGATGTTGCAGCTTGTAACGAAAATTAATTTGAACTTATTAATTACTCAGTGATACCTGCTTGTTTTAGCATGTCCTACAACCCAGCTGAAAATGCTGTACTCCTTTGCACACGCACATCAAATGTTGAGAACAGCTCGTATGATCTTTATACTGTCCCTAAAGATGTTGATGGACAGAATCCAGATACACCTGATAGTAAAAGGTCTTCTGGTGTTACTGCCATTTGGGTAGCAAGAAATAGATTTGCTGTATTAGACCGCACACATTCTGTAAGTAAAATGTTAATTTCATTGACTTTCTTGATAAGATTGCCATATACGTTATATTATTACTTCATAAGAGTAAAATTCTAAATATTGAAAAGACTTTAAAATGTATAATTTATGAATTTGCTCAGAAAAATATTGTGCAAAGATTTTGTATTTTGTCTATTTAGATGTCTTTCCCATTTAATGGGAAATGTCAAAATATGTATGTATTTTTAATATTTTGTTTACTTTTAGCTCATGATTAAAAACTTGAAGAATGAAGTGACCAAGAAAGTGCAAACACCAAATTGTGATGAAATATTTTATGCTGGAACTGGAATGTTGTTGTTGAGGGATCCTGAAGGTGTTACCTTATTTGATGTCCAGCAGAAACGGTATGTAATACTACATTTTAACATTCCACATGCTCTTTATTCAATCTTCTTTTTCATTGACTTTTTTTTTTTCTTACTTTCCTTCTTTTACAGAACTTTAGCTCAAGTCAAAATTGCTAAGTGCCGGTATGTAGTGTGGTCTGTGGATATGTCTCATGTGGCATTGCTTGCCAAACATACTGTGAACATCTGTAGTCGGCGCCTTGAATCTTTATGCTCTATTCATGAGAACACTCGTGTAAAATCTGGTGCATGGGATGATTCTGGTGTTTTTATTTACACCACCAGTAATCATATCAAATATGCTATCTCGAATGGGTATGTATGTGTTGTATATTTTATCAATAGTGTCCAATATATTATTCTGATTCATAAGTAATCTATGTATGTCATTAAAAAAAATGTTTCTATATTTGCAGAGATCATGGCATTATTCGCACATTGGATCTGCCAATTTATGTCACTCGTGTGAAAGGAAACATGGTGTTTTGCTTGGATCGTGAATGCAAGCCTCGCATTCTGAACATAGACCCAACTGAATATCGTTTCAAGTTGGCACTTATTAATAGGAAATACGATGAGGTGATTTAATAATTTATTTTACCCACTTTTTTGTGTTGAAGCTTCCTTTCAAATAGCTCATGCCTAACAAAGACATTTACAACTTTCCTCAGGTTCTGCATATGGTAAGAAATGCTCGCCTTGTGGGACAGTCCATAATAGCGTATCTACAACAGAAAGGGTACCCTGAAGTGGCTCTGCACTTCGTCAAAGAAGAGAAGACCCGGTTTGGATTGGCCTTGGAGTGTGGAAATATTGAAGCGGCCCTAGAAGCAGCTCGTGCACTTGACGATAAGCAGTGCTGGGAGCGTTTGGGCCAAGCAGCTTTGATGCAAGGCAACCATCAGGTATTGTTTTTTCCCATTTGTTGATAGAGCAGCATTTTTCTATCTATGATATTGTTAAGGTGTTATTTAAAATCTTGTAACACTCCCATTTTGTCTTAAACATTATTCTAAAGTAAACTTTTTTTTTTTTTGTTTTTTTTTTAATTATTTGAATTTCATGTCATAAATGTAACTCAACATCTAACTATTACGATATATTGTAAGTGTAATTTATATTGTATGATTTGTTTTTTATAGCATGGGTAAAATATGAGAATAATTATTTTCAACTCTTTTGAAATCTAATAAATCATATTGAGTCTTACAGTGAGGTCGTCATCTAAATATTTTCAGTCACTCTGTGAAAAGTTTCAGTGGTGGATACAAATTCATGAACAAAATGAGATGAAAAGTTTTAACTTCTGAATTCACTGTTTGTTTTTTAATATCTTGGTTACTATTTGTTTTGTTCTTTTGTGTGAAATTATATTGCTCAAGTAGTTTTCCTCCCCTCCTTCAGAATAATAGTTTTAGATTTCTACGAAATCAGCGTAGATCTCAAAAGAAAGGGCTCAAAATCACTTCTTCTTCCTTCGGAAATAATTTTGTCCCTTGTATCAACAGTTAAAATTATATTGCTTTAAACATTGTTTTTGTATTAGATTTTCTGTTTTATTCACATGATCACAGTTGAGTGCCATGTAGTTTTAAGTATTGCTTTTAATTATTTTGTTAACTTTATCACTTCTTAGAAATGCAATTTTATGTTCCTTTCGGTTCTTGTCTTGCAAAAGACCGATTGTGTTAGAACCTTTAAAGCAATAATTATTTTGTTTGGCTTCTAGGTTGTTGAAATGTGTTACCAGAGAACTAAGAATTTCGACAAACTCTCATTCCTGTATCTTATTACTGGGAATTTGGAGAAGCTCCGTAAAATGACCAAAATAGCAGAAATTCGGAAAGATATGTCTGGTCAGTACCAAGGAGCATTATTACTGGGAAATGTTGCCGAGAGAGTGAGAATTTTGAAGGTAATTAAGTGACATATTTATGAATATTTATAAGAAATTCTTTAAGTAATATATAACTATTCAAAAAATTGATTCAGTTAATACTTATAACACCAATTTTTTAATATCCTTCATTGAATGAGAGGTAGATTTTTAAAACAAGTCATATTTTTCTTGCCTGTGTTTAACCAATGTATGTTAATATTATTATTTCTTAACAGTAAGTGTTACATTGTCTTTTCACATATTTTGCATAAATTTAATTTTGTTTTCAGAGTTGTGAACAACGCTCACTAGCATATTTGCTAGCTGCTACTCATGGTTTGAATGAAGAAGCAGAGAACATTAGATCAGAAATGGATCCTAACAAAGACCAAGTTCCTACTGTGAACAATGATGCTGTTTTGTTGAAACCTCCTGTTCCCATTCTTCAGGCAGAAACAAACTGGCCACTCCTTACAGTATCCAAGGTATTTACATCACATTTGCATTATATTAGGGTGAGCACTTTCTACAAAATATGAAATTGTTAAGGAATTCCATTGACCTGGAGAAGTCGAAAATCAGAATTGTTTTAGAAAAATCTTTAGAAAGGCAGGGATATTTTTGAGACAATTATAAAATGAGTTGTTATTTCTTAAATATAAGTGATAAAACTTTATTTTTATCTCAATTTTTATTTGTTAAGCAAATACCATTTTCGTCTTTGTCACAATGAAATCAGAGAGTGAGAAATTAGCATCAGGTTGCCAAGTTTTGCTTTTATTTACTATTTTCTTTTAATAGAGTGAAAGGAATTTTCAGGAGAAGTATGTAAATAATCCTGGAAAATGGAAAAGTCAGGGTTATTTGTTCCAGGAAAATAGTGACACCCCTGTATAGTTCGATTGTACAGTGGCAATGCCAACTCTTGTTTGGAAATAGTTATTTACGTAACTTGTTGAAAAAGTAAGTCTTTGGCATACAAAGGAAATGTTGGTGGACAAGGTGATGAGAGGAAGTGAATCTGGCATTGGATGGTTGATAAATATATATTCTGGATAATTGATAGCTTATTCTTAAAATAAAATTGGAAATAAAGGGACAAATAATTACACAGTGTTTTTTAATCTTAATGTTTGAATCATTGTAATGTTAAAATAAATTCAAAATTTAAAATATCTCATCCACCACATGAAACTATGAGTGGGGGGAGGTGAGGGATATATATATAAATAAACAATATTATGAGTTTGTTTCCTTTAAAGACATTGCAATTAAAGAATGCATTACATATTTTGTCAGTGTGTAGATATGTATATATTTGTTTAAGTAAAGCCCTACATAGTAACAAGAAAAGAAATAAATCTCAAAAATCAATGATTAGTCTGGACAATAGTAAGTCCAGTTAACTGATGTCTGGATAATCAATGCACCACTGTATTATTTCTGTATTATTACATATTGTATTATTCCATTCTATGAGTGCATTCACTACTTATATATGTAATCCTCTGATACTCGCTGTGAGGTAGCTATTTGTTTTACTATGTGTTTTATATTCGTCATGTAATTAGCTTTATGTATTTCTATTGTAAGCATTTTTGTCATATGTGACCTTGTGACGTATCTACTTAATAATTATTTGTATTTCTAAGGGATGACCTGCTAATAAAAAAATACATAAAAAGTAAATAAATAAATAAAAATAAATAAATTATTATACAAACATATAGAGTAAAAATATAATTGATCAAAATTTTTTCCACTTAGTAGTTATATATCTGTGAAAAGCCTATTTTATGTAATATTTGCTTTCAGGGATTCTTTGAAGGTGCTGCAGTTTCACGAAGTAAGAATGGATCAATTGCAATTCTCTCACCAGATGTTATTGATGATTCTGGAGCAGATGGTTGGGGAGCAGATGCAGAACTTGGTCTTGACGACGAAGGGCTGGGAGGTGATGCTGAACCAGAAACTGGTGGTGGGGATGCTGATGAAGGTTGGTAGTATATGATAGTTTTTTTAGTTGTTGATATGGTAATTGTATGTTCTTGATCTATATTGTTTGTAGAGTAGGTTGATTTTGAATTAGTTCTTATATCATAACTACTGCAGTGTCAAGAACTAGTGCACAAATGCATTTCATTTTTGTGAACATTCAATATTTATTATATGAATAATATTTATTTACGGTTATTTAGATAATACATTTTAACCCAAATCCGTGTACATTGTAGTTTGTGTTTCGAAAACATAATCATCATCATCATCATCATCATCATCATCATCATCATCATCATCATCATGAACTTCAGGATAAAAGGCCAGGGAGCTCCTGTTCCTGGTTAAGCAGTAGACCTGAAATACTTCAGTCTTCCAGGTGTTCCTACATGATTCACTTCTTTCTTGGTCTTCCTATGTGTCTCTGTTTAATTGGCTTATATTTTAGGGCAGCCTTTGAGAATATTTCTTCTTTCATTCTTTTAATGTGTTCCAGCCATTTTTTTTCCTGGTTCTTTTTGACTTCCTCTGTTAAGTTTGTCATCTTCAATGTTTTCCTTATGTCTTTATTTCTCTGTAGATCCAGTCTAGTATAACCAAGGAGGTGTCTTAGGAACCTCATTTGAGCTGATTCTAGTCTTTGGTTGTCTCTTTGTTTAGGATCCAGCTTTCTGATCCATATAATAGCATTCGTTTGGCTGTCATGTTGTGTATTCTTAATTTGGATTCTTGTATCATGTCCTTCTCAAAGTGTCTTTTAATTTTTTCTATTTATTCTATTATATATCAAAATTTGTGTTGAAAGTCCTAGGAGTTTAGTCCAATGTCGTTGCCTTAATATTTGAATCTTGATACTTATTCTATTATTTCCCCTTCAGTGACTATCTTCACTCTTCTTAGTTCCTTTCCTTGAAATGCCATTGTTGTTTTTGTTATTTTTCTTCTGAGATTTTCATGTCTTTGCTATTTTATTCAGGTCATGTGTCATAGGAGTTCATCTTCTGATACAGCCAAAATTATTTAGTCATCTGCAAACAGGACTATTTGTTTAATAAGTGGGGAATTATGCTAATCTTCCCACAAACATCCATGCATTCTTTTGACCAGCTTATATCTGACATTACTTTGGATCTTTTATGCCAATTATTCCTTTATATCTTTAGGTGTTTGAATCTTTTTCCTTCTCTATGACACTTATCTTCTCAAAGTCTATCAATGGTTTATTCTTTTTTTCTTGTTCTTTCTCAGATGCATTTTTGTTGGTTTCTGTGTTCAATTTTGGTGTGTTGGAGTAGTTGAAGGTTCATTTGCAGCCTTTCTCTTGTTCTGAATATATCCTGTACCAGTTTTGAATTCAATGTTACTTTTCTCTTCTTCCTCCAGTACTTATCTTATCCCATACATATCTTCCTTCGTTTGGAATGTTGTTTTTTGGATGTCATTGGCTTTTTTGATCACAGGGCTTTTTGGAATGTTCGGTTCAAATTCCTTCAGTTTGTCATTCATATCTGGATGAATGGTATTTTGTGATTCATTGAGGCATAGTTTCATAGTGTCTTTTAGTTTGTGTATTGTATGCTTTATTTATATTTTCAGATGCATCATTATCTTCTGCAGGTCATAGATTTTTTCTTGCATTGTCTCCAGAGCGTTTCATTTTGCATGGTAATCTGGTTTGCATTTCGTTCTAAACCGTATTACGTTACGAGATGTTTTATGGAATATCTTCACTTCACCATCCGTTTGTTTGGTGCACTTTATATGAAACACGTGTTCACATTCCCCATCACATTTTATTAAATTTGCTTCAGTTGTTAATTCCAAACATTCAGGACATATTAATTTTTGTTCATCTTGTTTTTGTCTTTTGCCATTATTGGAGTTTATTATTTCGGCATCCAGCATTTTTCTATTGTTGTTTGAAGTCTGTCACTAATTTCCCATTACAACTTCTTTGTTTCCTTACGAATCACTTCTGTTCTTTTGTTCTTCTTGTTACAATTGAGATTAATATAAAATTCGTAGCATTGTTTCACACACGTCTTCTCATGACCGTTCATGCCAACTATGTATCAAAAACAGGTTTAAAATTTGAAACATTTGTAGGCTTCAGTAGGCAAAATGTCCATAAATTAAACCGCTACTTTAGTGCAATATTTTTGTTTTTGTAGGAGGTGGTTGGGATGTTGGTGATGAAGATTTGGATCTTCCTCCGGAACTTGAAGCTGCTGCCGCACAAGGAGGAGGTGAAGGGTATTTCGTCCCTCCTACTAAAGGAACATCACAAGCTAGAGTATGGGTGACCAATTCTCAACTTGTTGTGGATCATGTATTAGCAGGATCATTTGAATCTGCATTTAGACTACTTCATGATCAAGTAAGTATTTCTAGGACATATATAACAAAATTGTGTTCAGAAATGAAATCAAAATCTTTGGCCATTTTAAATTTAAGAGTGATGTTTATATACGTTACAATGTGCTCTATATGACTTGAACATGTTTGTAATTATAGTTTAGAAGGCTGATATTTTTTTGCCAGTTACATTAACAGTAGAGAATCTTTGACATACGAATGAAATGTCGACAGAAGGGAAAACAATAAGAGCCAATTTGTTTCCGAAACTTCTTCCCAAGGAATTCTGAAAATGATCGGTAGACTAAAAAATAAATATTCATTCGGTTTAGATGAATTTCCGGATTGTTTGTTAAAGGTTTGCATGCCTGCCATTATACACCCGTTAACTCACATATTTAATGTATCCTTGGGCACAGGAATTTTTCCAGATATTTTTAAAATAGCTCTTCAAAAAAGGCAACAAAAATTAAATTCATAATTATCGACCAATTTGTCTTTTGTTGTTTTTTTCAAAAATATTAGATTAGTTCCCAGACATTTAGATTACAAAAAAGAATTGGACGAATAATAAGTAAATCCACCCACGTGATTCTTGTAAGCCTCTCTTTATTCATGTAGGTATTTTTCCATTTCTTTGTCTCTTAATATATGAATCAGTGGTTTTTGTCAAAAATGACTTACTTAAGGGCGGGAATATATTTTCAGCAAGCGCCTTTGTCTATAACTACAACACTCGACGTAGTAATCATATTCATCAGGTGACAGTATCAACTGCTCACTACAAAAAATTCACATATAATACATGTACATTATTTTACACCTTGCCAGGTGACATTAAACGATTAAATTTGACACAAAAACTTTAGTCCCAAGAAAAATCTTTTCTGCTTCACAACTGTTTCTATTCAATTAGAAACTATACCGAGCATCCAAAAGGAAAGATTAATTTTAACAATGACATTTAATGTATTATATATTGTTTGGATTGTATAATTGTAAAGAACCTGAAACGAGTATTGTACTTCAGCTTCCCATCTTGATCAGGTTTTCGTCCAGTTTCCCTGATCCTCGAGCAAATGCTTAGATGGCCCCTTGTTTTGATTCTAACATAAATGCAACTTCAAATTAACTTCTCCCCATAGCACATCACACAGTTTTTAACTGTTTTTGACATAAATAAATAGCCAAGTCCAGCATTTTGAAATGAGTTTACCAAAGACATTTCTCTACTCAAGTTGGGTATATTATTATTTAGTATGAATTCATGAAAATTTATGAGAACATACTCGGATCGTTTTCAATGTACAAGACAACAGCCCTGTTGATTCATCTCTCCTCATTGTTTTATTTACTTTCAGTATGTATGCTTCAAAGTGCCTCATTTTTATACGTCTACTACAAAGTATAAATTCCAATCAAAAGTAAATGGAAACAGTTGCGTCCATGCATAAATGCTGAAAAGGGTTTTGTAATTAATAATAGAATATTATGTTTTATTATTGTGATTGCATAACTTTTGAAAGTATTTGAATATCATGATATTGATCATTGTCATGAAAGTTCCTTGTTGAAATATTGGAAATGTATTATGTTTTTTTCCTTTGTAGGTTGGTGTCGTTGAATTTTCTCACTACCGTCCCATCTTCTTGAGCACATTTGCTCGTGCCCGGACATCATTTTCTGCATTGCCATCATTGCCTTCCTTGTATGGTTATCCACACAGAAATTGGAAAGATGCTGGGCCAAAAGGTGGCCGCCCTGCTGTAGGGTTGAAACTTGGAGACCTTGTACAAAGACTGCAGGTATAGATTAAAAATAAGTTTATGATGGATTTTATAGATATTAATAGATAGGTTTTTCATTTTAAGTGTTACTTTCTTTTACAATTGTTGTCGTTGAAAGAACAGTTATTTATTTTATTTTTTACTTTTTTAGGTTTGTTATCAGTTGACCACTGGTGGGAAGTTTACAGAGGCTATTGCCAAGTTGCACAGTTTACTGCTGAATATTCCATTACTTGTAGTGGAGACTAGGCAAGAAATTGCTGAAGCCCAGCAACTTATGCAAATTTGCAAGGAATATATTCTTGGTACGAGCAGCCATTTTTAATATTATTTGGTCTCTTGATTTTACAGTGTGCGAATGTATGGCATTTTTTCCACATTGTGCTGTCAGATTTTTGTTTGTAGCAAAAAATCTTGATTGTTCTTTCTTTTTCTTGCCTTGTAGGTCTAAAAATGGAAACGGCCAGGAAAGAACTTCCAAAATCAACGTTGGAAGAACAGAAGCGTCTGTGTGAAATGGCAGCTTACTTCACACATTGCAATTTACAACCTGTTCATCAAATTCTTACACTTCGAACAGCTTTGAATCTGTTTTTCAAGTTGAAAAACTACAAAACTGCAGCTTCCTTTGCTAGGCGGCTCTTGGAACTTGGACCTCGCCCTGAAGTGGCCCAGCAAGCTCGCAAGATATTGCAGGTGAGTGATACATCAAAATCCTTATCAAAACTGGTAGTAGTGATCCCAAAGACAACATCTTAAGGCTTTAGGGCATACCAGTGATTGGGAGGTTGCATACTCAATCATGACATGGTGTCAGAAATTTACTTTATATATAACTTCAGTGAGCGAGTGGAACCAGTCAGAATCAAATTTGTAAACAGACTGCTGCGATCAGTGGTTTTGTTATCTCCTCAAGGCAAATGTCAGAGCTTAAGTGAAAGTGTGACTCAATGGGGAAAAATAAATATAAATCATTGCCCTAAATTGGGTAATTGCGCTGATCAAGGCCGTGTGGACTCTGTTCGACGCTCAATGAGGGCAAATCTTTGTTCTGTAAGAGATGGAAATGAAAAAAATCACATTGATTCCACATTCATCCACAGAAAAGGATGATAAAAAAATACTTCTCAAACAAAAAATTCCCAAACTTGGAAACCTGCTGCTATTTCCCATGTTACCCTTGAAAATGAGGAATAGATATACGTGCTTGCAGTTCACAACTTCATAATACATGAACATTAAACAGTGTGCAAATTTCAAGTACAATCTGTTAAAGAATCGAAGTCCACAAATGAGTGGGATGGGAAGAATATCTGGTGATGCGGAAGAGAGTGCTGTTTGATGAAAGATGAATGCAAATTCAATGCACAAAAGTTGGAAACTAAAAATTCAGAGGATGACTCAGTGTTTGAGGAGGACCATAAGGAAAGAAACATGATACATGAGAGGACAGAGGGTATTGACAGAAACCATGAGATGATTTTAAGGAACAAGAAAATACTGGTGGCTCAGGCAATAAGTTTTAACATTCTCATCAACAAGACAATTTGCAACTTTGTTTTGGCTAAATAGTAAGTATTAGTTACAAATTTGAAAAATTCTTAGAAGGCCTTCTCAAAATTAGGGGGTTATCTATTCAGAGTTGACTTATATTCAGGTAAATACAGTATTATGCATAACAAACAATATTCAATTTACATGCAATCATTCTAAATCATTCATGCCATTTACATTCTTTTATCATGCATGATGCTGTACACCAATTTCCATTTGCACACCATCTAAAATATTAATTATTTCAACCATGACCTGGGTCTTCCTGTGACATATGTATGTTCGTGTACTAACTACTGTAGATGGGTTCTTGGACATCTTCTGCATACCCAACAAATTAGCAACTTTTACATGTCAACATTTATAGCTAATTTATCATTTGACCCCTTTGGTCTTACATACGTTCACTATCAGTGACTGGCCTCTCTACCTCTGTACATACGAATTCACAATCCTGTGTGCATGTCTTTTTCTATCTCTTTTGGTCTATAACCAATTCATGCACTGATTGGTCATTCTCTAAAACATTGGCTTCAACTCTTGAAAAACATTGACAAAATGATTTATATGCAAATTCATCATCATGTTTCTCCTTCATTTGATTGTACTATAATGCTTTGTGCGGGTAGCAAGCCAAACTTCTTGTGATGATCATCCCGCACAATGGTTTGAAGAAATACAGGTAGAGTGGGGGGTATTAGTTATGAAATTGGCCACTAGATTTTATGAAGCAATGCCATCTCTGGAGAATCAGTCATGCCTTCGCAACTTTCTCAATAATTTTCATTCTCACTTTCTCAGAGGTGCAATCATGTGATGGATCTTCACCCGCTTCGGTCATTTCTTTAGATTTTTTGGAGAAAATCATAGTCAGAAGTTCTTGTCTTCAACAGAAAATAGTTTTGATTTCCTGCCAGTGAAGATGTGTTTGGAATGTTGTCATCGGTGCTCGCTGCAAGCTTTTGCCTTCAACTGTTAATTGAACCAGAAGGCGAAGCAAGGCCATCATACGTGAAAAGTTGTGTGATTAATACTCGTACATTAAAATAAACAGACTATTTTAAATGTTTTTATCTATTTTATTACCTATATCCCATTGGCATTAAAAAAAAGTATTTGACCATGAAGTATGGAGTACCTCAATAATAATTTATAGGTGCTTGAACTGATCATGAAAACCATGAATAACATGTTTATCATACGAAATGACATATTTCTGAACTGTTAAATGTGTCAAGCTCAGTATTCAAGACTAAATATATCTAATTTTCAAAGTAATTTAAGTAAAGTGAATTTCATGGTATAGATATTTTTCAGCAATTCGTCTGCATTAAAGCACTCTAAAGTATATCAGTTTCAATGATCAATGATGTTCTTCTAATGGTAATTGATTACGATATTCTTGTGTAAATTATGTTTGTGTATAATCAGTTCAATATTATTTTACAGGCCTGTGACAAAAATCCAGTTGATGAACATCAGTTGCAGTATGATGAACACAATCCTTTCTCGTTATGTGCCAGAACATTCCGCCCTATATACCGCGGTAAACCAGAAGAAAAATGTCCACTTTGCGGAGCCAGTTATCTACCTCAATTTAAGGACACAGTCTGCACTATTTGTGATGTTTCTCAAGTTGGAAAAGATACAATAGGCCTTCGCATTAGCATTCTCCAATTTCGCTCGTGAAGGATATTTTCTCTTTGTATTCTGAACTGTTTAACGTGGCTGTGTATTCACATGAAATATACTATATAAATTTTTATTCTCCTTTCAGTAAACTGATACCTCCTGTATATTCTTGGTTGATACCCCCCCTCTTTCTCCCCCCCCCCAATTGTTCTAGTATATATGAGTTCAGTACGTATGAGCCTTTCACCATACATGTGTCCTAAATATAATTGCTCTTTTGTGGTTCATAGAAAGAATGAAAGGATAAACCATTCATTGGAAAAATGCATTATTGTTTCTCTCCTTTGTGTTAATAATATAGTGACTAGATTAATAATACTGTGTAAATCATTATTATAAAAATAAATATTTATAAGTAAATGAATTTTTATGAGTAATTTTTTATCGAATTTTGTTTTAAACTGAGATGTGATTAAATATGATGGTGAGCCAGTTTCTAAAATTTGATTACTTGTAGTTCATAGAAGGAATGAAAGGATAGAAATTCTTTGGAGAAATGCATTGTTGTTCACTTAATGTGTTAATAACATAGTAATTAGAATAATAATGTGTTACTGTATATCATTATTATAAAAATAAATATTTATTATTAATTGAAATTTTATATAGTTGAAAACAATTGTTTGAGAGATCTTCATCTCTCATTTCAACTCAAAGATTTTGTCTCCAAAAACAGAGAGGGTGTGTGCACAATGGTATATAAAATTTGAAATATACATATAACGTAATAAGAATTTGACTGTCAGTACATTTGACATGTACACACTATCATGCAAATATTGTTGGAATGCCTAATGAGTAGTTTGCTCAAGAAATGGATATCAGTGAGAGAAAAAATAACTAGTAATAAATAGAAGGAAAAAAAGTGGTAGAAGCTTACTCCTGCTGCAATGTTTTGTGACAGACAAAAAATAAGTGTTGTGCCTTGTTTGTGCAGAAACATGTTTTTGGAGTGTTTACCCACCTAAAATGCATTTGGGGAAGGGGTAAGACTTCTATAGAGATTATTATTTGCTCATTTCAAGATAAGTTTGGTGCTATTTTTCAACTAATCCTTGATCGATGTGAGGGAGCTAGAAAAAACATGTTTTGGGGGGTTATTGAGGTACCTGCAGTGATAAACCGCTAGAAATTGCCATACTGCCCTTCAAGCAATTGTTATGGCTTGATTCATCAGAATGAGGAATATTTATCTCATTTTGTAATGAAACAGGATAAAAAGTAAAAAAAAGTGTCAGTACATATTTTCATGTTCGCTCAGAGTTGAACAAGCCAGGCAACAGTATTGTCTAAATTTATTTTCATTATGAAACTATATAATCCAAATAAAAATTTTAATCCAAAAATACCTGCTGGAGGCACCTCACTAAGTGACTACATGTGCAAAAATTCACATCAATTTCGAACATACCAGACATAATTTTATTTGTTTTTATTTTTTCATTGCGATATAGGTACTGCATAATGGAGGCTCTACTTATTATTTTTTTCTCACAATTTTGAGATGTTGAACATTTTCCAAATTGTCCAATTTATCCTTTAAATTTGTTTTCTCAAATAGACCAAGGTGCACTAATACATAAATGTCTCATTTTCATTGAATCCTCTAATGTGGAAACTTACATGACAACATTCTATCAAACCTGCCCAACTTCAATATGGAAGGTAGAGATTTATTTTTCAGTGAAATGTGTTTCTCAATATTTGACCGTGTAAACTTTTACTTTATTGCATAACTATGTACTTATGTAGTAAAGAGAAAGTATTGTAACGCTGTGATGAAAATTGATGACTTTTTGGACAGAAAAACTTTCATTGGGGGTCCTAGGCCCAAAAAGGTGTATAAACCTTAAATTCAAAATTATGTACTGAATATTCCATAATTCACAGCTCCACTTAGACCAACACCTGACTGTTTTCCTTTGTCATCAATTAACATTTCATTATGAACAAAATAGTGGCAAATAGCCAAACAAAAACTGAACAGCAATATATTGTAGGATCACAGAAACCAGAGTATAAATAAGAACTGAAATTATAGCTCGTCGCCTCTACCCTCGGCATTTGATTGTCGAGGTCAAGGGTGAGTAAATATGATAATTCAAGGATTGTGTGGATATGATAAACTTTGGCCAGTTGAACCATGGGAATTGAGAAGTGTTCTGGAACTGTCCAATTTTTCAACTCATTTTCTGATACTTGTCGGTTTTGTAATAAGTTGATCACAATTTCAGCAAAGCTTCCACTTTGAAGGGAAGGCATGTAATGAATCAGATTTATTCCAAAAAATTTTATTTATACTATAATTTAACACTACAGAAATTTCTAATTCATTTATTATTTGTGAATTATATTATGCACTAACTCGCTCTGTATGGGAAAAAGTAAATATATGTAAATTTTTTAATGCATATGGGAACAGGTTGTGCTACAACAGCATATACTGGCATATACTTTCCTGCCATATTTGTCATGGGTACACAATATTATTACATGGCTACACTACATGAACCTGAAAAATTGTTTCCAACCAGAATGAATCTGAAATATTTCTTCTCTCTGCTTAGGTCATTTTAGTCAGCATGCCATTCACATTACCATTACATCTCCAACCTCACAACTGAACTCTACGTTCCTGATGCTTTAAAAAGCTTCATTTGCGTTTGCAATTTTAAAAAATTTTAGAAATTTTATTTTACATTATTTCATTACATTCATTTACATTACAATATCTAGTTAAAAGAATCATCGGTGTTGTAGCTTTGCAATATTAATTTTTTTCCTCTTATTTTTATCTTTTCCTGTAGAATTAAGTCGCTGTTGAGTACCCTATCTATTCAAAAATATACGAAATCAGCAAGGAAATAATTAGTCATAAGTAAAAATTGTATAGACGATTCAGAATACTCCCTAAAACGGTGAATTGTCGTTTGAAAAACTTTTTGCTGGTATCCTGTTACCGAAAAAGTGGATATATCCTGCTCCTATATACACTAAATCATTCCTCCAACACGTAGCCAGAATCCATGATGTGTGGTAACTAAACTCTATTGACGGCAAAGCGTATGTCTGGTCAATGCTAGTATCTAAAGTTCAGGCGATTTCCTCCAAAATTGATATTCCTCCATCGAACTGAACGAACTCAGATGCTTTAGGACTATGAAATGTATATTTTGATTTTGAGGTAGGTACTTCACGTGAATCATCAAAAACATTTTCAATTTTTAAAAAAATGGTTCCAAATTTTTTATCAAACTTTTTCTTTTGACACCGTACTCGGTAAGTAAACGGTGCAGGTCTCATGTTCGTTACAATCCCTGATTTTTCGAAAATTGCAAAAGCTGCAATTGCGGGGGGAGCGTCTCGCTAGAACTACAATATTGGAGATTTACTTTTTTTCCATAATGAATTTTGTTTTTTCTTTTAAATAAGGTCATGTTCAATGTTTTGAAAATGTGAATAGTTTTCGTGTAATTTTGCGCGAAATATAGGCAATTTAATTTGTTTCAGAATATCTCCTTATACGCATCAAGTGACAGCTAACAAATATTTGTTCATCTAATTGACGAAAAGATGGTGGTGTTTTTTTTTTGTTTTTTGCAACCCAAAATATATAACATACTACTTGTACTTAAATTACGTAGTTTAGTTTTATTTTAATTTGAAAACCTTCCTTCGTTTATTTGGCGAAAAATTGATTGATTTACATCTTTGTTATAATTATGTTATTTAAACAATATCGGATACTACCATTTATTTACATTTAGAAAAATATACAATATAATAAATATGTTTATTACTCTTATGTCAAATACCAGATTTTGTCTCCTTTTTAATATGACAATTTGGGAAGTTATTTACATTTGGGGGAAAAGCCCAACCTTCAAACCATCTGATAACAGTGCAAATGGCTTAACATAAAATCAAGTTTATTTATTAATCGTATCATTAATGTTCTAATTTCATTCTTCTTGTGTGTTTCATTGCTTTACAAGTAAAAAATAAGTGATATGTAATGGCTATTAATAGAACTAGAAATGTTGTGTGTGTTATTACTGCAGAAGCTAAAATTTAAAAATCGATGTGGAGCGAAGAGGAACCGAGATTTTTAATTTGGACGAGGCAATGATCTAATAACACTAACATTTCGTGGGATGTTCAGCATTTTATTGGTCACCACGAAAATTTCACAATTTATGTGATAATGTAAATTACTGCGATAGTAAACAAATGAATTTGTTGTTGCGGCACGTTACTACGATATAGTGCGATGTTGCTTGTGATATATCTATTTAAACTATTTTTGTACTCAGCGTTTTGAGAAAAGATGGATGCAAATAATTCTCCTAAGCCTATAAGATACTTAAAGAAATGACGTTCGATGAAGTTGGCGCCACCTGCAGTGGCAACACCTTCAGATCATTAGTATATATGATTACCGGAGAAGAGTTTTATTTTACTTTCTCGCACTTACGTAAGAAGAGAAAGTATTGTAATCGTGCGCCGGGAAACTGCGAATTTTCGGCACAAAAATTTATCGCCGGGCACTTGTGAGGAAAAAATTGGATAAATTCAATGCCTAAATATAGAAAAAATCATCTAACACGCGTTTTAGCAAGAATCCATGTTTTGTGCGTTCTTCATACCGAAAAATCGATTGACGGAAAACATCCGTCCGTCCGCGATGCTAGCGCATAAACCGTTAAGCCGATTTTCTCCAAAATTGGTATTCCCCAATCGTTCTAGCTCATGTTGCGGACCCTGGAATTTGAAATGATATTTTAATTTGGGGGGGGGTACTTGACATTAAGCCCCACGGACATATTCAAAAACATTGCTCCAATTTTTTAAAAAAAATATTGTTGAATAGTGCAAAAGACGTTTATAAGAATGATGCATATCTTTTTCGTTGACATCCCAGATTTTTCAAAAATTGGAAAAAATAATTTAGCTTCAAAAGTGGAGATAAAGATTTTTGTCTCAAGTGTCTATTGTACAAAATTAGTTCTTCAAAAGAGGTCATGTACAATTTTTTTTTTTTATGAAATATATTAGTTTTTGCGGATTTTGCGATTGAAATTTACAACAAAAAATTTCTCAAAAACCGCTCAAAATATTTTCTTTGAATTTTCTTCACTTTTATAATAAGAGGCGGTAAAAAATATGGTGCCGGTCATATTTGCAGGTAGTGCTATTTTTTAAAATTAAAATAAAACGTTTTAGAACTACAAAATGAAGATAGAGATTTTTGCCTCATACAAAATCTGTTGTACAAAGTTAGTTCTTCAAAAAAGGTTATGTAATATTTTTTTTGGAAAAAGCTAGTAGTTTTTGCGTATTTTGCAATTGAAAATTTACAACGAAAAATTCTCATAAACCGCTCCAATTTTTTCTCTAAATTTCTCCACATATGTAATAAGGAACTGTAAAAAATTTGGCGCTATTCTTCTTTTCGGGTATTGCTAGTTTTTTTTCAAAAATTGCAAAAAATATTTGAAAACGACAATGTTGAAGATAGAGATTTTTGCCTCGGACAACGTATATTTTGCCGGTGCTTAATATTACAATTAACAATAATTATTCCCAAAACTAACGAGTTACTTTTATTCTGCAATGTTTGAATCTGATTTGTATAAAACATCGCCAGAGTTTTTCTTAATAAACATTTGACTTGCGATGAATCGATGGTAGTTAATTTACGTGGCTAAGAATCTTAAAACCCGTTGCTAAGGATGTTAAATTGCCTAACATATTTAACTAGAAACAAGAATGCATCATGGGGGCTGAGATTGTTCGGGGGAAGCGTCTGAACCATTTCGGTTCGAGTGCCGTCTCGGAAATTAACATTTGCTCGTGTGTTGTGATAAAGGCACTCCCAACCACCATGCATCACCTTCCAACTCTTTCCTTCATTATCTTGGTAGTTACCTTTCCCCGTACGTGACATAGAGCCACCTTGTCACAGTGGGGTGCAATAATGGCAGAAAAAATCAGGCGAGTGAAATGAGAAACGTTTTTCTTTGTATTGAAATTCATCATTTTTACATTCAGACTTTACCGTCAGTGGTTACCGTACTGTTACACGCATAGTGGTCGCTAATGACCTAGAATGATTCGACCTTAAATAACAACAAAAAGGAAGTAAATTCAAAAAAATTAAAATGAATTTAAATAATTTATCAACAATTCAATCATTTCAACAATGCCACATTTTGTAAATTCAAGTTATAAATCAAAAATTGCGTGCATTGCTTTCGTTCTCTTTAGTTCATGCTTTGTGGAACGACTTCCCTCAATTCTTGTATGCAATCGCTTATCGGCCGTCTCCGGAAGATGGCATGGAGTAGTAAGCCGCGGCGCAGATGTACCACGCCGGGCCATCCCTTAGATGAACGTCTGCGTGGATCGACATGATAAAATCGAAGACGTTACCCCCAACGTCTTTCTTGCCGGGGACAGACACAGGAGAGAGAATGAGCGCTCTCCGGAAGTGGAGGTTCCACACTCTCAGGGCCAGGAATCTCTCCAGTTTTATCACTTCCATGTGATGGAAACCTAGATGCAAGTCGAAAGAAAAAAAAATAACAATTCAAGTATTATATCATGAATGTTAAGTTTGCTTTCATGGCTTAATCGCCGAGGAATAAAAAAGTTGTTCCCTAGAAATTGAAATCGATTACCGAGTGGTGGTTGAATTTTATACTTTTGCGCTAGAATTTTAAGACTCCTGTATACGAGAAAGCTTTTAAATTAAGGGGGAGGGAGGGAATGAAAAATTCAATAGGTAGTCTGAATACTGAAGAATATCAAAGCACGTTCCGTGTAATTTAGATTACCCATTAAGAAAACTTCCATGTTAATTATCTTCGATAGGATAACGTTGGGCAAGAGTCCTCCCTTTTTATAGGTTTCTTCTCTTTATTGGTGTATTGATTCAGTTTTTACTCAGAGGTATGTTTAATGAATGAAGAATAAACTGTCCAAATGAGAATGGCAAATCTTTAAATTTGATATCTAAAGAAACATTAAAGAAGGAAGTGCAGTGTTCGGACGTTTGCCCCCAGGTGGGGGTAAATGTCTCAAACGAAAGGGGCAAAATTCAAAATATACAATACACCTAAACTTCCTTAGAAATAAATTAACGATGTTTATAAGGCTCATACGCATTAAATTAAAGTAACATCAGCTTTATTAATAAATTATTAAAGGTGATGCATAGATTATAAAAAGGTCATAATAAAGTGTGAAATAGCAAATTATACTCTGACAAACAAATATCATAACAAAGTCAAAGGAGTTTCGTTATACATATTAATTCTCACACAAGTCACACAGAAATTGCCCTCCCTCATAGGAAGGTGCATTTTTCATGCCTCCACTCATTACATAAATCACATTGGATCTAGTCTTCAATTGGTGGGTCCATTTTTAGTGACAACTCCTTTATTATTCTTTCCCTTCTCGTCTTCTTTGTGGCGTTACAAATAAGCGATGTTTACGATTTAATATTGGCAGTTCCGGGCTGCTAATTATCTAGTGCAGTCTTGTGCGGTGGCGATGTCTGTATGGGGACTCCTCGTCGCGTTCGTTTTCTCTTCAATCCTGTCTTTCGGATGGGAATAATGTCCGATGAAAAGTAGGGCCTAATTACCGCGATTCTCTGATGTTTCACAATTTGGAGAATCGCGTTCCTTGGGGGGGGGGGGGTCTCACAACAGTTTACGATAGTGATGAGTGATTTATGGTTTGGTCACATTACTGATGTACTTCAGGAACTCCATTTAAAGCGAACTCATCTGTGAGGCAAGACCGGTCCGTCCGTCAGACCGGTCCGTCCGTCAGACCGGTCAGTCCGTCAGACCGGTCAGTCCGTCAGACCGGTCAGTCCGTCAGACCGGTCAGTCCGTCAGTCTTCCCATTCTTCCCAAATCTGAATGGGTCGATGAGTACAATAGACCTCAAAAGCTTTCACAGCCTTTTATGTTGTACAATTCATGTAAGATTTACTGAACAGTTCCGTTGGTAGGGTTGAAAAGTCCGCACCAAGAACCTTACTCCAATCGTCAAAAATAATATCTTAATTTGTGCTGCCTTCTGCCAGCCATTTACGAAACTTTTTAAGAGTTCGTTGTATAGGTCGCATTTCATATATCCATACTCTTAATTGTGTACTTACGGTGCAATTAACAGTGTAAACATATTTCCAATATCGTGCAAAATTAAATCAAATTAGTTGAAATTATATTTCACCTCATTGTCGCAGCAGTATTTGCACAGTAACTACCAAACTTTTCTCAGAAATCAGCCATGACACCTTCCAATTTATAACGTAGAAGTGCCAACTTCACTCTTCGAAAATAATAATTAGGTTAATCGGACTCTTGCCCATGCGGACTTTTGCCTCATGCTATTCTGTTTTAAAGGACAAGTTTGTGCCTGCTATTGTATCCCTCATCCAATGGAAGTGTGACGTAGCGGAATGGAATTTTGCAGGAGAAGCAAAAGCCTGAATTAAAATTTTTGAATCAAAATTATACACATAGTAGGGTGCCTTTGTCAAATATTACTTCTTACCAATATGTTAAGTATCATTTAATAGACTTTTCTGATATTAACCTTTGCATTCAACCCCTTTTATACAATCGTGTTATTGTTCCCCATACATTTTTGAGTCTTGTCATCATTAACAATTAATCTATTTCGGGTAAATAGTGTTACAAAGAAAAAATAAACCGTAGTTATTGATTGTATACACCTTTACCGTATGATTTTACTCTATATTGCCTGCTCAACATCTTACAGAATATTTTAGGACACTTGACGCTGTTATACCAAGAACTGGACAGGCAAGAGTTTATTGTACTCACTACACAATCAACTGATTTGTAGTTCTTCTCAAATAAGATTACAATCACGTGACGTCAACGACATTTCCCACGCGGACAAGTAGTAATTCAGTCGTTAATTCTACTAATGTATTGAGTTTCTGCTATAGTTCTCAACTATTCACCTTTCTCACAATTTAGCAGTTATGTCGTTTCATAGGATGAGCGTTATGTAGAAAATCTTATATTTACAGTAATTTAATATTTAAACATCATTCCGGATTCATTATTGACACGTTTTTAAAGATTTAAATAATGCGTTGCATAGTGAAGAGAACTATTAAATTTCCAAATTACAAGTGGACGTTTGACAATAAAAAAAAACACGCGACACAGTATGAATATTTTGCCCTCTGAATGTAAAGGACCAGACAATTTATCCTGGTTATCAATTATGAATCTGCATCAAGAAAGTACCATCATCATCCACCAGATTCCAATTATCCCTTCTGGTCATTCTTCCTCGAGGAACGACGTTTTCGAATGGCTCTGCTTTGTTCCAAGACACCGTTACGTTGTTTGGGTCGACAGAGTCAACGGAAAACGTGACTTCCGGACAGAACGCTTTCGTGGTGAATTTTCGGACATAACCAGCCACCACTCTCCATGATCCGTGCATCTGGAAAGAATGTTTTCATAAATTACTTGTAGCATATTCACTAATCAAAATGAATAGTCTTAAATATTTTTGTAAAATAACTTCATGGAATTTCTAATGTAGCAAAGAAAGTAAAACCTTTCAGTAGCATCCATATTTGTTTAAAGTTCACTTCCGTTCTGAACTTAGAGAAAACACAATCAAATTCCTCTTATCTCTTGGTAAAAATTCGGAAAGTCTAACATGCACGCATTCTAAGGATTTTATATTAATAATGGTCGAAAAAAATGTGCACTTATTATAAATTATATCTCTAACTATGGAACTGAAATATTGATACTACGATGTGTCTGTTTTTGTGAAATTTAACTCTCAGATTCCATTAGAGCACTCCTTGAATTCAATTATACATTTTAAATTCACGCACAGAAATTTACAATTCCAGAGAACCTCGTAAAAAGCCCTTTGTGAGTAAAATAAATAGATGAAAATATTAGTTTTGGCAAAATAGCACATAAAACATAATGGCGGCAGGATGTTACATTTGTTGATGAAAGTAAATTCAACTTTTACGAATCTGATGGCAGTGTCAGGGTTTGGCGGATGCCAAATTAAGAGCTTCAAAACAAAAATATGCTGGCTACAGTCAAACATGGTGGGAGCAGTGTAATGGCCTGGGGGTGCATTTCCGAATCAGCAGTGAGGTACACGATCTTCATTGAAGATACAGTGAACAAAGAACAGAACCTTCAAATACTTAAAAAAAAAACTTGCAAAGAAGTTCTGATAAACTGGGCATTCGCAGACCTTTCAATTTTTATCAAGATAAAGAACCCATTTTGTTAGGTGTCTAGCAACATTTTTGGGCAAATTTACCCACTTCCTGATTTCAATCCCATTGAGCATTGGTAGAACGAACTCCATAAGAAAATTTGAGAAACCTAAATTACGTTAAAAGAACTCGAAAGGATGTTGTTGCAGGAATGGGAAAATACCCCTGAGTACATCAAGAAAAGAGTAATCAATACACTAAAGCTTCTAGAAGAAATAATACGACGCAGGTTACTCAACCAAAAGCTATAAACAAATAGTTATTTTATTTAAATTTTATTTATTTTATTTAAATTTTATTTATTTTATTTAAATTTTATTTATTTTATTTAAATTTTATTTATTTTTTTAAATTTTATTTATTTTTTTAAATTTTATTTATTTTTTTAAATTTTATTTATTTTATTTAAATTTTATTTATTTTATTTAAATTTTAATTTATTTAAATTTTATTTTATTTTATTTTAATTTTATTTTATTTTATTATTTTATTTTATTATTTTATTTTATTTTATTTTATTTTATTTATTTTTTTTTATTATTTTATTAGGTGGCCAAATATTAAATTGGCCTACACTTTTTGCATAAGCGACGTTTTCATTTCTTGTATCGATGTATATAATATTTTTGGAAATGTATTTCATTTACTGTGTTACTAAAAGTTTACAATTTTTCTATTACCCTTTGGACAAGATATAATACGCAAATTAGATGTTTCAATATAAAATTGTGAGAACAGGATGTGGCCGAATATTAAATCATGTCCTGTATGCGTGTATGTTAAGTTATAGATTTAATTAATTATGAACCAAATACACACTTTAACTTAGTTCTTAATAGTAATATTTAATTTTGCTCTGTTTGTGAACAGCAAACCCGTTAGCCAACGTTAGCCCCGTTAGCCATTGTCAGTGTTGAGGAGTAATTGAGTAAAAGTAAATCTTACTTGAACCATTTCTTTGTTAGTAATTTTAGCCTGTAATCGTTACTTTTAGAAGAATGTACTTTTCATTCGTAATTTACTTCTTAATCTAAAATTGTAATCGTTACTTGTAATAGTTACGTCGTTTTAATCATGCATAATATTTTAAATGGTTCTTTTACTCTTATATTTACTTCTTTTCGCTCACAAACTACTTCGGTCGTCTCGAACCAAATGAATGTGAGAGTTCATTCAGTTCACAAACTACACTGAACGAGACGTCCTTCCACTCACGGTACATGAAAATTTTCGTGGCTCCATCCCAGCGCGCCGCGCTAACATTAGTTCTATTGAATTAGTTTGTTCATGAATGACTCATCTCTACTGTACTTGTACGAGTACTGGCCGTTGTAATTGTAATTTTACTAATTACATGCTGAAAATTTAATTTGTAATCATAATTGATTACAGTATTTGACAATCGAGCCGAATTTTATGTGCTTTTCCCGTCACTGTTGTACCGTACGGGACTCGTCCTCTGAAACGATATTAAGGACTATATTTGTCTGGATTTGTTTTACGATTTACCAAAACAATGGCAATTCGAGTAAAAATAGCTAATCCTGTTTAATTTCAGAAGTGACCCTTCTTTATGAAGAAGGGTCCTGATGCAACCGTCACACTCAGAAAAATCAAAACCCGTGTAAAATGAACATACCAGACCTATTTGAACGTAAAGATTTATGCTTCACGAGTTTTTCAGCAAAACAAAGTAATTTGCACTGTACTTCAGTAATCTTCCAAAGAAAATATAGGACACTATGATCGGTTACGTATAGAATCAAATATAATATTAGCATTGACACTTTCCAATTCATGTTCATATTGACTATATGAAAAAAAACTCATCTTAACAATTAACATGCCGTTTTTTACGCATCTACAACCGAAGCCACATGATAAGAGAAGAATGGCACTAACAATTGTATTTTATTTCTTGTAGTATGAATGTGCTTGTTAGAAAATTCGTGTTTAATTTCATGACAATTTGTATTTTTTTTTTATTTAGCGAGGTTGTGCGAAGTTTGTTATAGTTTAGAGACTAGTATGATTTTGTTATATTTTTTCAAGAACAATTATGTGCACACAGAAAGAATGAGAATAAGGTTATTAATATTAGTTTTGGCGTGAAGGTCTTGTGAAGGAGTTTAAGATTTACAAGAGACAGAAAATTGTTTTCCACGTACGAGTATTTAAGAAGCAGGCCTCAGTCTCTTGGACCAGCTTCACACGTCAGTGTTCATTATATTCCTTGGAATCGCCGTCGTTTTCTTTTCGTCACTGTAGTAGCAAAGTATTTCGGCTATACTTTTGTTGCAAGTTTTGCGCTGTGCAGACAAGGTTAGAGCCGGTTAATGTTCGGAGCGGAGACCGAATGCCGGAGCCTCGTCAGTGACTGCTCTGAAATAGTTTTAAGCTACAAGTCATTTCCTTGGATTTTGCGTTGTCCTCCATCTTCCCCTTTTCTCTCTCCTGCAGCAAGAATATTCGTTTTCGTAGTGGTACATGAGAAAAAAAGCCCAACAGGAAATTAACTTGCGGTTTTTAACAGACATCCAAGAAGTTTGTCATATTAAGAACCTATTACAATTCATATTTTTTAAAAATCCAATATTCAATACGCGCAGGATCTCTGGAAATATAGGGAGATGAATGTTTTATTCATACAACTCAATTGAAAAACCATTACTAGTCGTAATAGCAGATAACATTACTGAAAGAACACTGGAATTTTAATATAAACTTAAGGTGTTTGTATAAACAAATATTTTCAGTAGCAAGATATTAGAGATGCACAGAAGAGAATTCAACAATCACATCAAATCTTCACGCTCTCAACTTCCATGCGGTCGAGGACTTATTGAAATAGTATTTTAGGAGGCTGTAACGAACACCTGCGAAATTAAGTTTGAGAACCGAAAAAAAAATCAAGATTTTAATTTATCAGTATGTGTAGTTTAGAGAAATTTCAAATATGAAACACTGTTTTCATATCAGAGTTGGTGACTACAATTAAAATGCAAGGAGGGGTATAAAGGGGAAAGGGGGTGTGCGAATCTCTGCAAAACGATGTAGAACTTTAAGGTGGAAGAAATTCTATTTACAGTTAAGACCAAGGACACCGAAATAGGAGTTTTAGAAATTTCAGGCGCGACTCCTAAGCGATCTAATGCTGCTTTAGGATTAAATAGCCGTTTACGACTTGCCTCAATTATTTGTGCAGTCCTAAAAAAAATTGTTTTGTATTCGAAACTAACGTTCTCTAGCTGTCCCAGCCATCTCTCACCTGTGACATTAAAGCAGCTTCAGAAGCGCTGTGCACACTTCTGTCATGCACCGGGGTTACAGAAGTAGTTGCTGATTTAGCAGCCGTTGCGAGAGTGGATGAAGTTATCCTTGAGCACGCAGCCGGTTCTGCCGTTTTAGTAGCACTTTTAGCACAGGATTCTGGGAAAAAAATGTTCAGATGTGTTTTTATACTTCACTATTGTTTTAGGTGTAACGGAACTAGAGGAAAAGAAAACCTTCAGAACGTTGCTAACTACTCTCTGCAGATTTAATTCTACACGTTTTATGAAAAGTGCCAGCAAAGTTCCACCATCCGCTTTCGAAAAACTCCAATTATTATACGATGAGATCACGCTAGAGCTTTCTATTGATAAGTTCCACACTACTTTCTACATATTTGGAAGGAGGAACCATTATAATAATTAATTCCGAATTTAAGTACTAGCCACACATTTCTTCGACATTGACACATATCAGCACGTCTCCGCAAAGCATTACAAAAAACAACCTATTTTAAACTTTTAGGCGATGAACGAGCTAGATATGATTACACTCCAAAACTTTCGCTACTTTAGTATCATGAAAAAAAATAAGACATTTTGCACATTCATTGTAGCCGTATCAGTAGAGTACTTCCAGCCGTACCGTCCGAGCTCACAGGACCGCTGTAGAGTAAAAGCAGAACCCATGCAGCCACCGCAAAAACATTCAGGGATTGATCCATTGCTAACCGTGGCTAACTACTACCAGCCGAAGTCAACCACGAACTACGTCTCTCGAATAGCAGGAAGTCTGAGAAGAGAAGGGGGGTGAAGGGGTGGGTAGAGGCAAGAACGCGAAAATCAGCTTTCGGAACATACCATTGAGCAATATAAACCATAAAGTTTTAAAAAATGGTTATTATCGAATAAAACGTTACTAGAATGAAAGAGGAATATTTAAGGTACCGAGTTTTCAAAAAGCAAAATTGACCTAAGAAACTTACCATTAAATTAAACCTGACTCTCAGAGCTTACATATCATCTTTGATATACCGTCATATTTATTGTTGATACGTACGCGAAGAATGGCGTATAACCCGGAACGTTTTCTAAAGCTGTCGGTTTGCTAGTTGCACGAGGAGGGGGTCATTCTTTCAGGGGGTGGTAACAATATTGTTATCAATTGTCAACCCTGCTAGTTGCCATGCTCGTTGCTATCGATTTGTGCAGAATTTAAAAAATCTAAGAACAATAACAATATGATGAAAAAATAAATGAAATTTTTATAACCAGTTTGTATATGCCCTACCCTAAATGTAGTTCTGGAAATCTTTTGCTGGACTGATGGTCACAGCAATTCATGACGTTTGTGAAGTTGGCACCACCGACAGAAACAAAACTCAAATACAATTGTAATTGTATGTACTTCGTTTGTTCTGCATTGTTTCACAAGAATTTTCGTTTCTACGAATATGTAATGAAAACTCAGATGTTCAAACTCAGACTACACGTGATTAGAGAAAGTAATTTACCACATATCCCTTATCCAATTGCCACAAGTGTCTTCTATGGTATCCTGTGAAATGAAGACAGACAATTTCAAGCGGGTAATGCCGTAAAAATTAAATTGTGTCAGTCTTCCTTAATAGTAACTTTCGGATACTATAGTTTATTTGTTCTTTGTGACACTTTTTACATAACTGGCTGATAGGAATCGTCTTAATTGTTAATTATGAAAAAATGCTCATACATT